CATGCTCGGATATTTGTCCGCGGACGTTATCTCTTCCGAGAAGCGAACAGTATCAACCATTTTTCGCAACAGGCGAAGTTTTCAAAATTAGGGAGTATCACTCGGATATTTCCCGGTTTTAATAGCAGGGGAATATTCAGTCACGTGATGCGTTTGGACCAATCGTACGTGCACGTGCTACGCGCGAGCGAAAATATTTCATGTTTTATGAAAGCTAATTTACACCTGACAAATTCCGAGAGTTAGCGCGGTTACACGATAGCATGGGACATAAACTAGAATATGATATTACGTTACAACTCATGCAAACTCTTGTTAGCCTCGATTTTTCCTGAAGTCTGATTGGCTGGTAAGCGTCAGCTCAAAACATCGCGTGCGGTTGAGATCGAAGTCGACATGATGTGGACAATATGAACGCATGAGAGCTTTAGAGTAATTTCTTGTTCAGAGAAGACAGAAAACAAGGTCGCTGACTCCTTAGAGCCAATTCCACTTGATGGGTGTCGAAAGAAATTCGCGCTTGCTTTGGCTTTACATTACAGAGCTTCGCGATTGACTTAAAAAATCTCGCGCACCTTTGTCATACAATCAGAAGTAAAACCAAAGCCAATTGTGACTCGCTCGCACGTTTTCCCCCGCTTCGCATCTGCTCATGACACGCATTCCCTTCGAGTTTTGATTGGTTCACTGGATCGCCTGTGTCCTTTGGGTTGGCTAGGGTGATTCTCGGCTTTGGTTGTCGTTTTACAATACTCAATTGAAACTGCGACAGATTTTCTAATTACGAGCCCTGTTTGTAAATTTCCAGGAGGGCTAATGAAAGATTAAAACACAGTAAGAAACCATTTGATATTGCCATCAGCACTTGGAATACACCAGAAACCAAAAGAAAAATATACCTTGCCCAATCTACACCAGGTGGTCATTGAAATACCATTAAGGGAGTAATATGGGGTGCTCCTGTGAAAATCCTCCTTCTATTGCAAAGATCCGGGGGTCCGTTTCTCGAAAGCCCTGGAAACTTTTCGGGCCCGGAAAGCCATAGCAAAATCTCTAACCTTACGATTATAGAGCTGTTTTATTCACATATCCTTAATATGAACAGAGGTTCCCTTCGTACAAGAAGTTTCAGGCGAATACACTTCTCCGTTTTTAGATACAGAAGAACTAAAAATGGCTTTAAGGGCCCGAAAAGTTTCCGGGGCTTTCGAGAAACGGACCCCTGTTCCCAGTCCCTAAACGCCCCCGCTTTTACCNGATTAAAACACAGTAAAAAACCATTTGATATTGCCATCAGCACTTGGAATACACCAGAAACCAAAAGAAAGATGTACCTTGCCCAATCTACACCAGGTGGTCATTGAAATACCATTAAGGGAGTAATATGGGGTGCTCCTATGAAAACCCTCCTTCTATTGCAAAGATCCTAGGGTCCGTTTCTCGAAAGCCCTGGAAACTTTTCGGGTCCGGAAAGACATAGCAAAATCTCTAACCTTATGATTATAGATCTGTTTTATTCACATATTCTTAATATGAACAGAGGTTCCCTTCGTACAAGAAGTTTCAGGCGTATACACTTCTTCGTTTTTAGATACAGAAGAACTAAAAATGGCTTTAAGAGCCCGAAAAGTTTCCGGGGCTTTCGAGAAACAGCCCCTGCTCCCAGTCCCTAAACGCCCCCGCTTTTACCCTGGAGGGGAGGAGTAAGGAAGATAGATGGACAGTTTAGT